ATGTTGGCCACACATCTCAATATACCAATGCGTGAGATCTATATCAGGCCTTTCATCGACACCACAACCGAGGAATATAAAAAAGTTTGTTGTTTTCATATTGTTTTGTAGTTTTATCTCATTATCACATCTTTTAATAGTGTTGTTTACGTAATTAACTTATTTATTAATCAATTTGATGCATAATAAATTATACTTAAATTTTTAGTAAATATTTTGTTTTAACAATTAATTTTAAGATTAACCAGTCTTAACGAGTATTATATTTTAGTTAGATTTTGTCTATATAAATTAAATTATTTTATAAAAATATGATAAAGTGAATTTATTTATGTATTAATTAACGCTATTCTATATTGAATAAATTAAAAATCTCTAATTGTACAGTATATCGCAGTGTGATTTACTGTAATTATTAATTACTAATTCATATTTACCACATCAATAGCTTATACTGTACTGCATTTGATAAATATTAGCATGGCTGTTCCTTGGTAATATTTATTAGTTATACTAAAATATCAGTAAGATTTAGCATGTTCTTAATCTTAAACCTTTATGGTCGATAAATATAAGAAAATATGATTAAATTGTTAAATAACTATTCAAATCATGTGATATCCATTGATGTATTCATTATCTTTATGAATGAATATAACAGTAATTTATAATATTTTAATTGCATTAAATTAAGTTATATACTGATAATTGTATTTATTGCATGTTTTTGACATTTATCCGGAACTATACCGCACTTTATATTTTAGTTATATTTAAACGATTTTATTTATAATATTTATATCAATGCAATAGAAATAACTACTTTACACTTTAATAACTTCAATTAGCTCTAAAAAATAATTGGCTTAATTAAAATTATTAGCTACTAAATGTATAATGTGTTGACGCGTTGTATATCCAAATAGATTAACCCCTGCCATACAGTTCCAGCCATAGATGACAATGGATTCCTACTGTGGGAAAGCCGTGCGATAATGCAATACTTGTGCAATAAATACGCGCCCGACTCTACACTGTATCCCAAAGACCCACAATTGAGGGCAACTGTTGACAGGCTATTGAATTTCGATCTAAAAACGTTAAGTCATGCCGTTATATCTGCCCATTTCGAGTTCACAGTCAGTATAATAACCATCATAGAAATCATAGTACGTTATTTTAATTATATTACTTTTAATCATATCAGTTACCCAACGAATACAGCGCTTCCCGGAGCGACACATTTGTAGAGCTGACCGATTCGCTCACATTCTTAGAGATATTTCTAATCAATAAGGATTATGTGGCCGGAGATGTGCTCACAATCGCCGACATATCATTGCTGGCAAACGTCACTCATTTGGAGATTGCGGTCGAGTTTGACCTGAGCTCCTATCCCAACATCTGGGGCTGGTTTAACCNCCTATCCCAACATCTGGGGCTGGTTTAACCGCTTGAGACGAGAATTGACCTATTACGATCGACTCACCAAAGTTGCCCATGATGAGCACCGGGAGCTCATTAAAAATCTTAGGAACGCTCATGATGAATGGACTGCCATACATTTCTGTGCATTTTGTCCCGCCGATGACAATGAACAGCACACCACTGCACAACATCCTAGTGTCCAACATGTTCAACATACCCAACATTCCGGTGCCCAACATAATGGTGATCAATATAATGGTAGTCAATATAATGGTGATCAGTATAATGGTAGTCAATATAATGGTGATCAGTATAATGGTGGTCAATATAACAGTGAACAATATAATGGGACCCAACTTACTGATACCCAATGGAATGGTGCACATTATAACCCTGGACAATTTAATGGTGTATTACATAATGAACATTAACATAAAACTCGGCTGTGATTTAATAGTATTATTACTGCCAAAACTTCTTGGATATTGGATATGATTTTCTCGCGTAATGTTTGCTGAATTGTTAAGTTATACCCTGTTTATTGATAATTAATTATCATTATTAATATTATGTGAAATACAAATCAATATTTATGTCTATTAATAATTATATTAACCATTATTTTTAACAATAATATTATTACAAAACAAAAACAGTGTACAAAACTATAATATTTTGTATGATATTTGCCAAGAATTCCTATACGAATATTCTGTACTTAAAAACTACAATAATAAATCTATAATCTGTTGTAACAAATTGACTAAAAATCAAGGTTAAAACAAACTAACAATGTAACCAACTTTATGTAAGCGTGTATTAAGTAAAATCAAATTTGAGGTGAGATAAGAAAGTGGTGGCGCACGTGAGTTATTGCTGCCTCTTATCACCAACAATTGGTCCCAGAGTACAATGTAGTAGATTTACAGTACAGTAGATCTTACATTTAAAGTATATTTTCATCCAATATGTAACAACTTTTATGTAAGACAGTTAGATATGAAAATATAATTAAAATTATTTATTAAATTCAACAAAGTTTTTATTAACTGTTTATTAACTGTATACAATATAATTAAAACTGCAACCATTCAAATAATTTATTGTAAGTGCACTTTTAGTGCTGTATATTACAAATGGTCACATTTTGCACTTTCTGTTACAACAATGCAATAAAATAATTTGTTTATCAATTGATTGATAATGCTTTCAATATTGGCGTCGAAATCCTAAATAATAGTCGCGTTTCAAAATTAATAAGATATAAATGCATGATAATTATGTTGACTACTTCATTTACTGTTGGTTAAATTGGTATTACAATATCTACAGTACAGATTTGTGTATATAATTTATAATGAACTTTTTGTGAGAAAAATATCTTTATTATACAATATATTATTTATGACTTTTAAAATGTTATTTCAATTCAAGTCCATTTGCACTAAATTTATTGTTAAATAATTTATTATAATTTATAAATGTAGATAAAAATTCTCAATTATAAGTTATGTAATTATTTAATACTTAATTGAACAATATTTGTAAATAGATTTGTAGACTATAAAACTATTCAGTTATATCAGTGAGAATAATAAAAATAAACAGATAAACTATCGGCGATAATCAATTTCACTTAATTTTACTACACTAATTGAATGTATATTAAAATGATTTATTGCTTTGAGTAAATAATGGATTAATTATTAAATAACAAAATAATATTTTTACTTGAAATACATGTAAGAATCTCAATAAATCTGTCAAATATTACCAAAAATATTAGTAAATATTAGGCATTGTTATAACTTATAAGTATAAAAGCAATGTGTAATGAAAACATCTTAATTTACTGATGATAAAAAGATTTACCTTAACTCAATTCAATAAACATTTCTTGATATCCAGAATGAAAGTAAAATGTTTGGCGAAATATTAATGTTTCAGTTATTTTTAATATTCTTTTTGGTTTAACTGTAAATCTAATTGTGTAAAATTGGTAAAATGAACCTAGTTATAAATTTAGTATATATTTTACATTTAATTACATTTATATGTTTTAAAGTGTATTATTGTCAACAATTGATAGATAGTTATGACATCGAAGTGTTTGAGAACAAAACTTCTCAGAGTATGGGTTATAATAAATGGGTTAAACCTAAAGCAGAAAGTATTGCCTAATAAAATATTTATTTGTATAATTGATATATTTTTAACAAATTTATCATCATATTAAATTTAGTTCCAATAATAGTGAACACAAGTCTATACTTATACAGTTTTGCCTCCATTGATGAAAGCCGGACTGTAAGTGATATAAGTTATATCATATAACTTTTTCAATCAATAGTTGTTAACATTATTTCGTGAATTTAATGACAGGAATATAGCATTCAATTATTGTTAAGATTTGAATGGTTTGATGAAAGACTAGCCATCGCTACACGTGATCATAAATTGTTGATATTAGAGGGCGGACACTGGCATATGGACAGGATATGGACACCATCTCTGCACATACCGACTAATACTCAGCCCGATATACTTCGGTCCGGAGATACAAATCCAGTTCTGGCGCACATCCGCTCCGATGGCAAGATTTTGATCAGTAAAAGGTTTTATCAATTTTTACTTAATTTGTCTAAATAATATCTAATTTATATACATTTTTATAAAGAATATTATTAAATGGTTTGTCACAAATGGATTTTACATATTATCCGTTAGATAAGCAATTATGCGATATTGAGATCGAGTCGAGTGAGTAATTATAAAAAGTTATGAAACATTATTAAATGTATAAATTTACTGTACAAAATAACACCGTAAAAACGTGTTAGCAAAATATTTACATATTACAAAATTTCTTAATAATGATTCATTATTAATGAACACACTTTAATAAACAGATGAATTATCTGACAATTATCTGCGGCTGAATTGGGCAGAAGAGCAGCCACTGGCGATGTCCACTGAATTCAGTTGGAATGGATACACACTAATTGATCACAAACTAAATAGCATAAAGTCGTTGTACAGCCAAACGGGAACTTTCAGTAAACTGACGGTCACTTTTACTCTGCGGCGAGAATTTGGACACTTTATACTCGATATATACATTCCGTCGATTCTGTTTGTGATCTCTTCGTGGACATCGTTTTGGGTGGAAATACCCGCAGCGCCGGCCAGAGTCACGCTCGGCAAATAGAAAACAATTTAATAATTATTATAAATCAATAAATCTAAATACATTATATTTGAATCATTTCATTACAAGAAGAATTGTACCAGAAATAACTCAATTGACAAACTTTAGAAAAACCATATGTTTATCCATTATTTGTAAAGGAAACTTTTTAATCATATTAAATGTGTAATGCTTTTGGACAAATTTGGATGATCTTGGTACTTTCTAAATACATAATTATTAGTGTTATACAGTACACAGAATAAAACTTATCCTTAATTGCAAAGTACCTAAAAAAACTGGTTCACATTTTATTATCAGTAAATTATTTCTTATGAATTGGTAAATAATAAATCACCATGCCATAAATTATATCAAATGTTTAATTTACTAAACAAGCATGCTAAAAATTATTTCTAATCCCGATATTATAAATACCGCACAAATAGTTTGGTTTATTTAGATATAAATAATTGACGGTCAAAAAGCTGATTAAAACTAAAGTAATTAAACCAAACAATTGATTGATTCACTAATAATTGATTGACAATTAATACACATTTCAAAGGCATTCAAAAGTGGCGCTCAAAATAAAGCATGGATTTGACGATTGGTGTGCTTTTCAGTGAGCGCTTGCGAGCTATAATAAACCAGTTATCTGTGCGCTAATAAAGGCGAGAGTTAACACATGAACTCATCGTTAGAGTCGCTTTTCTAGTCAGTCATAAACACTGCTCTTAACGACCAAAAGAGTGAACACTTTCTCTAACATTGAATTGTGTTTTGTATCCAAAATTCAAACCAATCATCAAAACAATGGCTAAACGAAGACAGTCTGCCGTCAGATCCAAGACGCCGAAGAAGT